TGCCAGCACAATTTTTTTCCTGCAGCAGCACTGTGAACCACACCACTTCAGGGGGGAAAAAAAATCCAACAAAAAAGCCCAAACAATGACGCACTTGTTAGAACCAGCTCAGCTCCCTGATCAGATTTACAGCACACCAACAACTGCAGTGGCAGAAATTTGGGAGGCAATGTGCTGTGAGGCCAGGGCAGGAAAATGCAGAGAGATTGGAACATTTTAAGCTGATGTTGACAGCACAGACAACGTCTCATGAAATCAGATGCTTAACAGGTGGGAGGGTGACATAACAAGGGAAGGCATTAGGCTTTTGTAGAAAGAAATAAGGAATCAATATTTAATTACAAGAGAACTGCAATGAAGTTGCATTATTGAAACTATCTCACCAAGCTGATACAATATTTTTTATTAAAGAAAACCTAATAATGAATCTACATTAACCTCCAGACTCAGTGTTCACCAATACTTCCCCACTAATAAAAATAGACATTGATATGCTTGTGGTCAAGAGCTAGAAAGATCAGAAAACAGACACGGAATTAAGATGTCCTTTAACTCCATTTCAGTTGCCAAATTGTACAATTGTACAAACAATTTGTGTGAGTCTCTCTCTCTCTCACATTAGGTTCCTACCTAATGCAGAGCAATTGCTTTTTGCCAGGGTCAGAAAAAGGTTTCAAGAGCTGCAGATGGAAAGCAGAAGGAAAATCCCTTCCGTTACAATCAGTACAACATTGTGTCTTTGTCATTTACTGTTGTGGAGAACAATGAGAACTAATGATCCTTTTTGTGTAAATGCTTCATGATAACACCAAATCACACAGTACCCCACGTGATAGCAGCATTAGCCTGAGGGAGATGAATGAGAGCATTGTGGTTTTCCTAATAATAGAAAAAACCACAAAGCCATACCTGGGACACAGACATCTCACAGACATATTGCTGCCTTGCCCCAGGGAAGTGAACCATATTCTCTGGATGCTGTTTTGCTGTAGCACAAAGCTGTCAGGGGGAGAGAATGCTGGAAACAGTGACATGAACGCTCAGCCAGACCTGTGACAGTTCAGACATCTGGCAGCTGTCCAAGGGCAGCTGGGGTTGGACAGAGGGCACAATGAAACAGAGCCAAAAAGATCTAAAGATCTTCAACAAGGAATCTGAGATGTCACTCATTTCTCTCCAGGGAGCAGGGCAGAGCCCTTGGTAGGGCTGGGGGAAAGCAAGGGCCAAGCTAGCAGAAGTTTGAGGCACAAACAAAGCCAGTTCCCAGCAGCTGAGCTCGGGGAGAAAGGAATGTGAAAGATGGGGAAACTGGGAAGGAATTAGAGCTCAGGCATTTCAAATGAGCACCTCTTCTTAAACTCACCAATTATTTCAGTCATTGCAGTAAAATGCAAGTAAAGTATTGTCCAAACAGCAGCAAGGAGACCGCCCTGACAGAGGGCTGTGTAGGAGACAGAAATATTCCTGGTTAATTAAACAAGGCAGATGAGGTGGCTCAGGGAACAGCTCCAAGGACAGCTGTGAAGGAACAGCAGGTACCCATCCTCCACGCCCACATGGAATGAGCAGATGATGCCAACCCTCAGGATACAAACGTCTCAGTACCAGAGGCTGCCATTTAGAATCACAGGATATCCTGTGTTGGGAGGGAGCTGCAGGTTCACAGTTTGTGGTAACTGGGAGTGGGGCTGCGATGAAGCCTCATCCCCAGGGGGCTCAGCAGTGAAGACAATGGCACATGGAGGGCTGAGGTTACTGAGCAATTACCAAAGGGAACAGGGGGCACACCGGTGTAAGGTGAGGGGAATAAAATGTTGCACTAAAGAGCAATAAATGGTGGAAGCTGTCTGATGGGGTCTGGTTTTAGGCTGTATGGGGACGCTTAAAGCTTTCTGGTATTGTTTGGTGGTGCTCTGTGTATTGTGGCTGTCTTGGCTGTGGCATGTGCTGTGAATATGCTGCAACAGGGACCCACAAGGATTGTTGAGTCCAATTCCTGGCTCTGCACAGGACATCCCCCAAAATCACCTGTGCATCTGGGAGCATTGTCCAAATGAACTCCGGCAGTCCCAGTGCTGTCAGCCCTTCCCTGGGGGTCACCCCTTTCATGAGCTTTCTCAGAAGGACTGAGCACCCGTCCTGCACTTAGCCAAAGATCAACTCCAGGAGAGGGCAGGCACAGAAGTCAAACCTGCCTCGAGCCTTGCTAGTTCAGGATTGAAATGGAAGAGCCCATCTCACAAAGCTGGCAAATGTGTCACCTTCTGCACCAGTAAAGCCAGAGCCACACCTGGAAATGAGCTGTGCTCCACAGGCAGGTACAAAGGACAGCCAAAGGAGAATAGCAGGATGAGAGATCAGTCCCCAGCATCTCTGAGCTTGCCAGCCCAGCACCTGTGGAAGCAATTTGCACAGCAGGAGCTGTCCTGCAGAGCTCTGAGCAGCCACCAGCCAGCAGCACCCTCCTGTGACACAGTCCTGCAGCTGCTCTGCCTGAAACCCCAGAGCTGCACTTGCCTGGGCATCCCCAAATTCCCTGAAGGGGTGTCCCCTCCACCTGACGTGGCCCAGCCTCTGGCGAGTGCTCCACACTTCCATCCTGAGTTTGTACAAACTGTAAGACTGTGCTCTGTTAGACTGAGCTTTGTGGCTGCTCGCCTGAAAGACAAGGGACAAGCATTGCCACATGTTTTCCAGAGGCAGCCTCTGATCCAGCACAGCACTAAGCCCTTCAGACAAATCTTGGAACAACTGACAACAAGAAGGGAGCTGGACATATAACATTCCAACATAGGCAAAACCCTCTTATTTCCAGCATCAAAGATGCAAAACCCTTTCTGCTTGTATCCAATTCTTTCTGCACACTTGTTGAGCAGGGAGATGGAGCAACCTTGTGCCAGGCTACACTCAGCCTGTTGTTTCTTCAGCAGGACTTCAGAAACCTAGACAAGCACTGATCTGTGTAAGAGGCTCCTGTAACTATCAGTGCTTTGGTTCCATTGCCTTTACTTTCATTACTTCATATCTTATGGATCTGCTCCTGCTGGAGCTCTTTCTCCTGTTTTAGTCAATCCACAGACTGAGATATTCAATGATATGAGAGGATGGGCAGAAACAGGGTTTTGTATCAGGATTACTTACAATTTAGTCCACAAAAGAACATAGTTAGTGCTCTGGTGCAGCTTCACAAACTGGAAATACAGGGAGGTCTGGAAAGAACAAACCATAATTCTAAACATAACTGGCAGGATCCAGCTGGATCCATGCCCTCCCAATAGAGAAGGCATGGATATAATAAGGAGGAAATCTTGGGGTACTAGAAGATACAAGGAAACTCCACAAAGCAGTAAGTTTGCACATCTGAAGTAGTTCTGTCCCCAAGAACTTGCACATTTGGTGCCCTGAACTTCATGAACCCCAGGACTACAGGCTGGAGAGCATTGCACAAGTACTACAAAGATTGTGATAAGCATCTGTAAAGATTAGGGTAAGGAGATCCAAATCTGAGGCTCAGTCTCCAGTATGGCAAATGCATTGGTAGGGAATAAGGAATCTGCAAAGATTGTGTTGTTATGTGTAGTAAACATAATTCGCGCCATTCCTTGTATGAAATATGTAACATTGGATACTTGTTAGATTATGCCCGTTTGTATTAGTTTCTCCCCCCTTTGCAGGCAAGACTGGGTGTATATTGGAAACTGATTTACAAGTAAAAGGATGTGGCTCGGCCAGGAGATGGGCCATGTCGGGACTCCAGGTGCTGACCATCAGGACTCCAGGTGTTGATCATCGGGTGATCATCTTGGGTAAACGACCCAAGATGGATATCATGGAAATCCTCAGACAGATCCATGTGAATGCAGCCTTCCCGTAAATCTCATCAGGGATTCACCTACTCCGGACACTGAATTATTCCTCCTCATCACCCAAAAAAACCAATCTTATTAACCTATGGACTCTGAATAGAAAAAAAGACTGATTGCTGAAATCTTGGCCTCAGGAGGAATTTTCCCTGTAAAAACCGCTTGTGCCAGGTTGGAGGTGTGGNAAAAAAAAAAAAAAAAAAAATCTTATGAACCTATGGACTCTGAATAGAAGAAAAGACTGATTGCTGAAATCTTGGCCTCAGGTGGAATTTTCTCTATAAAAACCGCTTGGGCCAGGTTGGAGGTGTGGGCATAGAGGGAAACCTCTCCTGAGGCTGACTCCCTGTTGCACACCCAGGGTCAATTCCCGGGCTCGGCACTGTCTTTTTCTGTGGCTGGCTAGATAGAATTTGACCGCTAATAAAAATTTTTTTTCCTTATTTTTAATCTGGCTGAATCAATTCTCATTTATAACATTTCAAGAGGGGAAGGAGAAACGATTGCCAGCACAGAGGCGCCGCTGTTTCAGTGAGCAGCATCTTCCCACAGGCACGGCTTTCCCACAGAGTGTGAGGTCAGGAAAACACACCTCATCCCCAGCATTCATTTTGAATATAGTTTACAATCCCTTTTTGCTTCCAAATTGTTATTATTTTGCACTGATTTTGGGGATCTTTTGGGTAACTGAGCTCCCCTGTGTGTTTCTACCTTACCGAAAGCCAGAACTGTATCTATCTGGAAATGCTACTCTAATGAAGGAAGAAAAGATTATGCCGCATTAAAAAATGCCACTGTGTAGCACATGACCACTATTATCACAGCTGTGGTGCCCACATTAATTATGAGTTAGGGCACCATGGTAAAATCAAAGTGTTTTATAAACTGCCGGCGGTGCCACACGGACGGGCACAAGGCCGCCAACACCGAGGAGACCCCGGCTGTTCTGCGCTCCCTGAGCATGCTGGGACATGGAGTCCCCTCGGGGAGATCCCGCGCGGAGCGGAAGGGAACCCCGCACTACAACTCCCGCGGTTCTTTGCGCGCAGCGCCGTCTCCTAGGAGACGCGAGGATTTGAGGGGGGGGGTCCCGCCAGGCCGGAACTACAATTCCCATAGTGCCCCGCGCGCCGCCGCCGCCGCCGCCATGGAGCGGCGTGTGGCGGAGCAGCTCCGCAGCGCGCTGAGCCCGCTCGGCCTTGAGGCGCACGCCTTCAAGGTAATGACATCACGGTTATGTCACTGGAATGGCGTCACTGCCCGGGGAGGTGGGGGGGAGCGGGTACCGGGGCTGCTCATGGACCCTCGCCCGCCGCGGCGGCCCCGCGGGGATGTGCCCGGCCCCGCTCGAACGAGCGGGGCACATCCCCGCGGAGCCGCCGCGGCGGGCGAGGGTCGATGCGCAAACCGCCCGGGAGCGCGGGTCAAGGTGTTGTTTGCATGAAAAGTACAAGGCAATGAGAGAAGAAGCCCTATAATTTGGAAAATTCAATGCCTAAAACAAATCCGGTGCAGAAGCCAGGTGAAAAGAATGCAGCTATCAGAGGGGAAAGCTTTTAGGCTTCTAGCACTCTCCAGATTTCATTCTGGTGTACTGACTATGTTCGCTGACTGATGTTCACTGGGAAACCAGCAAAGCTTAGATTCCCATCTCTCTAATTCCTCAACATCTCAATTCAGCACCTTCAGAGCCACAAAACTGATTTAACTTAGCGGTTCGTATAAGAATGTAAACTTTATAGTGAATCTGGTTTTTGTTCTGTGTTTCCTCATGGGCAGTCTGGCTGCCACTGCCAGCTGCAGAGTCGCTATCAAAATTATTTCACTGATTATTTAGAATAACCCAGTACGTTTAATTTCCAAACTTGCTGTTCCATTATTCAGCATCTGTCTGACTGTTAGGCCTGACTTTGTTGCACCCTGGGAGAGAGGGAGTTGTCATAACCTATAAAAAGACTGATGTAACTGTGCAGGGCATGAGGAGTGGGGTGCAGGGGGTTTGGGGCATGTCCTCCTGCACTTGGCAGTTGCAGGTCTGAGCCCTCCATGTCCTCCTGGTCATGCTTCCTGCTGCCCTGCCTTGATCTCTGTTTCTGAACTCTGTTATAACATGTCCAGCCCTGGAATCAAATATCCAAATTTGGTTGTGTCACAATCCACGTGCTACTGGTAACAAATGTTTTTAGGGGGGGCTTAGCACTGCCAAGAGCTTCACATCCTTCATTCCACACAAGTGTTTTCTGCAGAAGTAAAACATGCAACTTGTCACACAAAACAGAAGCACCAGTTTCTTTCTGGCCCAAGATAAGAGAAAAATAAAAAAACAATCCAAACCTGTAAAAGCTTTATCTGAACAATCTGATTTGCATTGGCAAGACTGATTGCTCATACTTCCCTCTAGGTTTCTGAGCAGAGCTGGATAAAGGGCAGACTGGAGCTGAAGGCTGTGTGTGATTCTTATCTGACAGCTCACAGCACAGCTTTCCCAAACTGAATCCTGGAGTGCAAAACAACTTGGTTTGAAAGGAAGGCCCTGGGCAGGTTGCCCATCTGGGTTGCAGATTAAGGGGGCTACAGTTATTTCCACATTTTTACATTCCTGCATGTGCACTAGAGTGGTGTCTGTGTTCTAATGGAAATTTGTGTTTCTTTGCCAAGGTTGGGTGGTACAATGCTGTTCTGCAGCCAGGCTTCCACCTCCCCTACCCAGATGACACCCTGGCCTTCGTGGTCCTCAGCACGCCATCCATGTTCGACAAGGCCCTTAAGCCTTTTGTGAAAAAAGAACGATTAAAAATAATCAGGGATCCTGTGGATCAGTGTGTTTCCCATCATTTACTACGTGTGAAGGAGGTAAGAAGCCGAAACACCGATTCCATGTAGTGCTGTGTCACATCACCAGGTGGGTTGAGTGGCAGACAAAGCCCTGCAGGCTCCTGCCCTGCTCTCTGGAAGGGTGAAGCATTATTCATGAAGGAGGGAGCATCAGCAGGGTTTGGCTGCTTTACTTGCATGTTCTGCCTCTGGATGACACCATGCAGCTGTGAGGGAGTTCTGCAGGCACAGGCTGAATGCCCACAGCCTCAAACCTGCCAATAGACAGAATTCAGCAGCAGGATGTGGGAGTCTGCAGGCTTCACATGTGCCTGATTTGCTGCCATCCAGCAGTTCTGGAATGGCAAAGCTTTTTCCATGAGCCTGGGCTGATGTTTCCAAATTTTCCCAGAAATTCCCTGACCAGAGGGTGGATGTCATGTTTGACTACGAGATGCTGCCGAGCCGAAAGCCCAAGTTCCTGGCACAGACAGCTGCCCACGTTGCTGGAGCTGCATATTACTACCAAAGGAAGGATGTGAAACTCGATCCTTGGGGGAAAAAGGTGAGGCAGAAGCACAGTCTGGGAAGAACCACTGAACTGCAGCCATTGAACTGTACAATGATTGTTTGCTCACTAGTCACTAGTTCCTCTTGCAGGAAACTACAAAGTCCAGAGGACATACAGGTTCATAAAAGGGTTTTATGTGGGAATTGGAAGCTTCCAAGATTCTTCAAGGTAGCAGGGAGATGTGCATGAAGAGAAATATCTTAATCTGGTAAACCTACTTAGACAGAAGAATAAATGGCAGTGTAAAGGAAAACCTGTTGCTTAGAGCATTATAGAGTGGGGGAAAAATGCTCTGTGGTTAATTTCTGTAATAGATTTTCAGAAAGGAACCTCTCCCCACATTCCAAAGAGGTGAGTGTGGGCACCTGAAAATGGGAGAGAAATGCCATATATGTTCAGCTCTGTACAGCTCTCCAAGAGAAGGTTGGGAGAGTGAGCAGCATCTGATGCTTTGAACTCTAGCCTTGATTAGACACAAAGTGAGGCAGCCTGGATGTTTTTTTTTCTTCCAGAAGATCTTTGGAGTTTGTATCCATCCCAAGTATGGTGGCTGGTTTGCTATCCGGGGTCTCCTGCTCTTCCCAGACATTCAGGTGCCGTTCCTGGAACAGCCTGCCCCTGTTGACTGTGTGAGCACGGAGAAGAAAAGGATCGAGCTGCTGGAGCAGTTCAATTTCCACTGGCAGGACTGGCGCTACAGGGACATCATTGAAGTGAAGGAAAGGTACTCGGAGGAGCAGAAAGCCTATTTTGCCACTCCTCCAGCCGAGAGATTCCGGCTGCTGGGGCTCTCACAGGAAGCCCAGAGAATCACATTTCACTGAGAAACCGGCGCGGTGGAGGGCAGAGGGCAGCAAAGGGTAACTCATGAGCACCGGCGGAGAAGGAGAAGGAGGAGGAGGACGAGGATGATTATGCTGGTACAGACGTGGCAAATCCAAGCAGCCTCAATGCAAACACTGCAATCAAAGCTTCCCAGAGACAGGGGCACTGCTCCGCGGTCTGGGGGAGGTGGGAGCCGTCTGCTCTGTGCTGCTGCTGATCTGGGGTGTCCTTTGGGTGTCCAGTAAGGTGCCATTAGCCTTTGGTTGGGAGTAGTTCAGAAATCCTGGCAACTTCAAAATCGGTGCTGGGCATTAGAGAAATCGCTTTTGTTCTCAATAATTTTCTTTCCGAATATTCTGTTTTTATTCTTTGTAGGTGTAGAAAAAAATTCAGTCATTGTACTACTTAGCTGGATTTTGACTAAACTTGGGGCAGGTACTTTTTTAGATGTAGCAAGCATTTTATTATCCTGTATCATGACTCTCCCTAGGAAACAGATGTCCAGTCTTTACAGTCTTGCCTAGGTCACATTTAAGCATTTATCCATTCATAAAGCTGACTGGAATATTTGGAAAGATGCTGAGTAATGTCCATATGATTGGAGGTTTTACTCACATTAAGATAACTGACTGAAAAAGGCAGTGGCCTTTTTTTTTTCAGCTAGACCACATTTGTGTTAAAAGTATTTTTCAGTGCCAGCACACAGCACGCCCCCACAAGGTACTGCCACAGTTTCCTGGTGTGCTTTTTGTGTGGCAAGGATTGTAAACCTGCACACACGTAAAAGCCATGGCACAAGGCCTTGTCATATGCACAGGCAAACTAGCACAGAAGAAAGGGAAATATTAATGACATTCATGTTACTTATATTGCTGCATAAAACATGTTCAGACAGAAACACTTTTTGCATGACTTTGTCCTGTTACATTTGTTCAGAGGTTGCAATGCACCTGGAAATCAGGAATTATTTTATCTTTGAGCAATTTGAGGCTCAGATCTCGTTAAAGTAATATAATACATTAAAATAATATTTTGTAGGAGTTGTTTTACTAGACTGCAGTGCAATGCTGCACATGGACAGGCACTACTTTACTTTTGATGGTATCAACACAATGATGAAGAAATACTCACTTTGCAGAACTGAGCCCTTTCTTTTTATCCTGGGATTCTTCGAAGTTTTTGGAGACCCCACCACAAAGGTTGCCCTCACCATTGTTCACTGCTTGATACAGTTGTTCATAGCCTGTACACTAACTCTTCATAATCCAAATTCAGGATAACGAGTTTGCTTCCCTGTAAAGAGAGTAGTGAGCATGTGATCACTGGGTTTGTTCACTGCATTTACTGTTACAAAAAAGTCTTTGCTGCTTTCCATGCTTTGTTCATCTCTGACTAAGGCAGACACCTGACTTAAAATGTGGTAGAGGTATTGTGATGTTTAATTTAATGAAAGAATGAAATTTGTTTAAAATTAGTTAGTTACAGAAATATTTCTGGTTCAAATTAGTTTGATGTTTCAGCACTTTTAAACTGAACTGTAATTTAACAGGGGCTTGAGGTAATGGCTCATACTAGTAACAAAGAGAAAATACTGATTCTCTTAGAAGGATAAATATAGATTTAAATCAAATCTATCTTTTTATATTACAATTTAAAGTAAATTATTTTGATTTTTTGGTATTCATTTCTTACAAATATTTAATATTTTGTCTTAATTTATTAAACAGATTACCATGGTCACTGCATTTCAATTTCTGTAATTTATTTATCTTCAAATGGTATTTTGGTTACTAAATATACAAAGCTGTAAGTAAATCTCAGTACTGAGTATTTTTATTTAAACAATGCAATTCTTAGCTTGTGGAGAACTCAAGATGTTCAAGCAAGAATCAATAAAGGTGTTTTAATATCCTGAAAAGATTGAGGTACCTAAGACACACAGAGTCCAGTAACTGAAAACTAAGGAAAAAAATTGTTATCTTAGCAGAAGTTGGTAAACTATTATCACAGGCCACTGGGATATAACAAATAAAACCTACATCATATTATGAGTAGATTCAATAAAGGTTTATCTTTTCCAAGTCATTTCAGCAAGAGCATTAACAGCAAGCACCATGACAGTGCACTTCTCATTTCTTCCTCTGTTCTTAACAGTAACAAAAGTTCCGAATGTCTAGTGAGACATAACCGAGGGACTTTCTCTCAGCAGCATTAAAGTAAGACCTGTAAGTACTGGAATTTTTACTGGTTAAAACCTAATAGTGAACAGAGTCACAGGTCTGTGTTCCTTGTGCTTCTGGGAATACAGTTGTGTGTGTCAGAACAGAGTGCAAATATTTAGCAATATCCATTCCTACTACAGTGATTTTGGAGTGACTTGGACTGGGCATTACTTTCTTTCTCTCAGCCAGCTCACTGAGATCCACAGCTGCACAGTGAGATACACAGTGATTAGATTTCTGGTTGGAGTATAATGGCCTTTGTCTTATAAAATTGAAGTTTTGAGAGAACCTGTTTGACTTACCTCATCTCTTGGGACAAGACCAGACATGGTAAGGAATGGATCAGCCTTGGATCCTGAGGCATTGTGAAGGCATTCTTAGTTTCAGCCCTTGCAAATGTCAAACAAGTAATTGCAAATACTTGGATAGATTTACTAGTTCAAGTATCACATTTTACATTTTTAGACAAGCTTTTCTCTAAATCCTAATTTTAAAACATTAAAAGACTCTTTTCCTCAGTATAACCAGTAGAGTGGGTATTCAAGAGCTGAACAGGAAAAATAAAAGAAATTAAAAGCAACTTGAATTTAAATTCAGTTTCAGCAACAAGATATTTGTACATTTCAAGCTAATAAAATAGTTTATGGAGAATTAACAAGTTTGTAATAGTTTTATGCATTTACAATTTATCTTTATGTTTTCCCTATTTTTACTTCATTAACCTAAAAATAACTGAGACTTTTATAACAATTAAAGATTTGACAGACAATGCCAGTTAAATACAAAGCACAGTCTAACCTTGTGACCAGCAGCCATCGGAGTTGTTGCTCAGAAAAACCCCTCGAAAATACTGTTGATGGTTTTTGGTATCAGTTTGAATCAGTTTCATTTCTGTGATAACAATAATAAGCACTAAAGTTTCTTTGTGGTATGAAGAAGAGTGTGGCAACCTTATTCCTGATACTGACTTGTTTCTTTCTCCTATAAAAAGAGTGACTTGTAACAAGGCTGTTTTCCTCTGAACTATGGAAAATGAAAGATGTTTTGCTGTATAAATCAGTGCTGGTGTGCCAGACAAAAATAGCCATCCTTAGGAGAGTAGGGAACTCTTCTGGTTTGTTGTTTTGATTAGGGTTTTAAAGTCTGGTTTGTGTTGATTTTTTTGCTATGTTTTTGTTTTTTTTTTTTTTTTGGGCTAGATTGCCCTCCTCTGGATCAGTATCATAATTTTACTCATTCACTATAGTATGGATGTTGTCTTATTCATTTGTGATGAAAATTATTGTTGGTGTAGCTACTGTTTGACATGGGTTATATTTCTGAGAATGCACGCTGACTTGAATTTAAATTGAATCAAAAAAACCCTGAGTTAAGACTGATGTATTTCAGAAAAGATAGTGACAGCTACTGGTCAGTGCCAGTGTAGTTATCAGCACTCTTAGTTAAGCCTTATGCAAAAAGTGTATTTAATAAATTAGCTTTGAATACTGACTTCAGCAGCAGCAGTTCAGAACTTCCTCTGAGGGTAGTGGTTTTGCTGCTCACTGCAGTAGAGAAACAGCTGCACCTCTGCAAGCTGAACTTTCACAGATTCACCAAAATAGACAAATGTATTCATGAGAGGGTTTGTGCTGTTTCATTGGCTTCCTGTGCTGTCATGTATCCTGTGACAGATCATCCATCACGTTTCCTTCAGAAAACAGAACAGAGCACTTCCCTTCTAGGTTTTCAAGGAGGAAACAGAGCACCAAGGAGCACAGATGAGCTTTTATTTTCCCTCTGTGATTGAAAAAGATGTTCACATTCCTTACGAAATATGGTGGGAAAGTTGAAAGAATTTAATATTTTGTCATAATGAGCAGGAAGAAAATTTAGTGGAATGATTAAAATCTCTTCAGTAATATACTAAGATCTGTAAAATGTGATTATATATGCATACAAATATTTGAAATGGCTACTATCATTCACTAATAATACATCTGTAATTCTCATGTTATCTTTGTTGATGTATGTACATAACTCAGTGAGAAAGCATTTTTACTTTTAACAACTGCATGTTTTCTTTTCCCTCAAACACCTTGAAGAGTTCTGAAGATCAGACACACATATACTAAGGTGCTTGGGGATTTTTTTCCTCATGTAGAACAAACCATGGGGCAGGAAAATTCCTTTAAGTGGATTACAGGAGTGGAGGGATTTTTGTTTCCTAAATTTATGCAGAATCATTGCTTTTTCTGTGAATGTATAAACCTTCTTCCTTTTAAAGGAATTAGTCTTAGGTTTTAATTTCATGTCATAACCTTTTTCCCAGTATTGTTCAGACTAGTCTTGAATCATTCACTGTTGCTTTACTCTTCCAAAACATAAAGAACTGCCTTATTGTTGTGAAAGATTAATTTGATGAAATAATCAATTTCAGGCTATGATGTTTTATCAAGACAAAAGATATGGTTTCATTCATCAGTGCTGATACTTCAAAAATCTGTTGCTGTGGAATATGGAACATAAACCTACTGAACTTGGTGTCAGAGGACAGTGCAACCTTAATGACTTCACATATATTTAGTCACATATCTATGCTCAAAAGGTTTCTTGTACAGAAACATTCTACATTCAGACACACGTCCCCATAGTATGTACAGTGATTCAAGTTTCAGGTGAAAGAGCCAAATTTCACATTGAAGTCCAAACCTTTCATCACTAGGTGTGGTGAGAACTGCTTCCCACAGGCTCAGCTCTTGTTCAGGAACACTGCAAACAACTCACAGCCTGTTCTCCTGCAGCCACCCAGGGCTGTGCAGCACAGGGCCGTTGGTAATGCAGTTCTTTGACTCTACATTAAAGGCAAACTCCTGGTTTTTATTTCCAAGGATTAAAAATAGAGGTACTATATTCATGAGCAAAACCAATTTCTTTTGATTTCCTTGTTCAGTGTTCTTTTTGTATGTACCATTAAACTGTATTTAAAAAAAAGGAGACAGTAACAGCTCTAACACTTTCTAATTAATTGTCCAAACATGCTGCATTCCACCACTCTGCACTTACCTCATTTCACCCTTTGCAAAATAGAACCAAGACATTTCTGGTTTAAGTCCCCTATCTGTCTAGCAGTATACATCAGAATACACATTTGCAGACTGTCAGGTAATACAGTACTGAACACCAGACCCACTGAAAATTTCAGACAATTAATGCAATAAACCTGAGTATTTTAATATCATTTTTACATAACTCTTATTTTGATGTGTACCATTACTAAAAGCTGCTTTCATGAAGCTTTTGCAAACAGACTTTCCTAACCAAAGGGCATCATTTTGCAATACCTGTGAGATAAAAAATTCTTGCTTTTGTTCTTTGAACTTTATTGATTTGCTGAACAATCCAATAACATATTCAACAAAGGCCTGATTAAAAGGATGGAATACTCGTTAAGAAAATTCTTTAGAGAAAACATTCGTTTGAAAAAGAAAATAGTACTTTTAAACTGTAGTAACTTTTTATACTATTTTTCAAAACTACTAAGAAGCTCGCTTTGTAACAAAGTGATAATTCTTTAAATATTAAGAGGCAATTTCTTTCTTCCAAGCATCTAAATATAAATATACAGTTGTTAATTTTGAAATTACTAACTCAGAAGTTGTACAAAATCAAGTAAAGGTTAGGTTCTGTATTTTGAGTATTGAACATCACATCCTATATATGCCAAGATATATAGAATTTATGTCTGATGCACAGCTTTGTATTATACATTTAAAAAAAAAAATCAAGTTGCTCCTACACAAACACTATTTTCTGAAAATTTAATTACAAATATCTGTCACAAGCATGAAGGAATATTTTTTTTTAAATTCTAGATATGAGAGAGCACGATTTGTGTGTATTGGGTTTGTGTGGCAGAATTTGGTAATGGGGGGGTGACAGGGGTGGCTTCTGTGAGAAGCTCCTTGAAGCTTCCAAGGAAGCCACCACCAGCCATCTGTGGGATAACAGAGCTAAGAATGGGGGAATGATTGTGTAACAACCTGCAACTGCAGAGGAGTGAGAATGTGAGAGAAACAGCTGTGCACACACAAGGTCAGTGACGGAGGGGGAGGAGGTGCTCCAGAGCAGATTCCCCTGCAGCCTCATTATTTCTCATTATCCTACTCTGATTTGATTGGTAATAAAATTAAGCCAATTTCCCAAGCGTGTTTTTCCTGACACAGTAACTGGTGAGTGATCTCTCCCTGTCCTTACCTTGACCCATGAACCTTCCACTCTATTTTCTCTCCCCTGTCCAGCTGAGGAATGGCTACATAAATCCCCAGGAATCACAGCAATCAGTAACAAATTAAGAGATCTAGGACAGAGACACAGTAAAATATATTTCAGTTTCCCTTCACCTGACTATTCTAGAGAAATAAATGAATAAAGGTTATATTCATAAGCACTCAAACTAGGAAAACAGATGTGCAGTCACTCACACATTAAAAAGTAGCAAATATTACATCTATCCTTTCTGATTTACATCTTCAGGGAAAATCCCACTAGATAACTACCCATCCTGTCACATTCAAGAACTGCTTGAGTGAGGCTTTTACCTCACTGGGAAATATGGCACCTGTTGATTGTGAAAGCAAAAGCAGTTTGTAATTGTAATGAAAATACAATCTGTATCTTGATACATGGAAAATTCAGTTACTAAATTATAGTTATTTGATTATCATAAAAGTTACACCAGTCTAAGATGTCATGATGCAAGGAGTGGGGTGTAAGCCCCAGTACACTTACTGGAGGAGATTTCAAGCTACATCTGAATCAATGCAAACTTGAAACAAATAAAGTTAAACTCTTCTTGGTTTGAAGAAGTTCTGTTACCCATTTTTTTGTGTGTTATTTTCTTGGAAATGTAAATAATGTAAACATTAAAATGACAGCATAGCAAACCTTCCTGGGAATGACTAGTGTGGCTGAAGAATAAAAAAAAAATGTTTAATTGCATTGATTCCCACTCTCGATCCTTTGATGCACACATGTAGTACGGTTCCTAATCCACAGGGATTTTGTTTCTTGGCTGTTTGCAGTTTCCACAGTATCAGCACTCACCTGTGACTGTGATGCTTAAGCAGGTACAGTTTGTAACCTCCCAGTGTGGGGGAGCTCAAGGTGGGCAGGACACACAGGAAAGTAAGTACAGCATGTGAAGGGAACTCCTCACAGCAGAGGAGTGGGATGAAGAAATGAGCACAAAGGGTTTCTACAGGACACTGCTATGCCCAGATGTGCTGCAGGGCAGCTCTGACCCCTCCTCCTGACAGCAGCCACAGCTGGACACAGCAGCTGGTGGGGTTGGAACCACCCTCAGACCCTCACCCCTTCCTCCCAGGCCCTGGGATGGGCACATAAAGATCCCTTCTGGGAGAGAGTTCAGGAACAGAACATGAGAAAACTCCTTTATCCTCTAGGTCCAGGGGTAGGAGACTAAGCAGCTACAAAATCACTCTGTACAACTACCTAAAAGGGGGTTGTAGTGAGGTGGGTTCAGTCTCTTCTCCCAGCTAATGGGCAATGAAACAAGAGGAAATGGTCTCAATTTGCACCAGGATAGGTTTGGATTAGATACTAGCAAAAGTTTCTTCACTGGAAGGGTGGTTAGGCATTGAAACAAGCTGCCCAGGAAAGTGGTATAATTATTACCAGGAAGAATTAAAAAAACTATGTGTATGTCACACTTGGAGACAGTGCCCTTCAAGTAACTGCTGTCATTGGTTTTACTTTCAAGCCTAATGTAACAAGGTAAGTTTTGCATTAGTTTAGCCCAAACTTTACTCATTGTCACTTGCTAGAAAATAAAGTTGGGTAACTTCTTATTCAGCCAAGATAATTTATATTCATTTTACTAGACCATATAAATGCCCCTGTAACTTATCAATGTCTTCCTGGGAAGCTGGCCTCATTTGTTATCTTGAGACTTTGGATTTTTTAAAAATTAAGCAGAAGTTATCCAGCTAAACATTACTTTCACCTATGTTCATGGGGATTAGCTACTTTATCAGATATTGAAGTATTTGGTACCAAGGCTTCTGCCACATCCTTTTTGGAGCTGTACAAAACAAGTTTACTACTCAAGGCATACAACTTTCACTTCTGAGTGACACAAGTAGCCCTGGGCCTCATCTTTGGTGTTGCTGACTTTAAGCAGGACAGAACTTGTTTACGACTTGAGCTGAAGATGGTTACAAGGTCCAGTAAGAATTTAATCTTTACAGGTACATGAAGATCACAGGGCTCTAACTCCCTTACTTTGTTAGGCAAGAGCTCACACCCAAGTCCTCAGCTTTGAAGTTTAGCCCTATCCCAAGCCACACTGAACTGTGAAGCTACCCAGCAGTCACAGCTTTGGTGTAACTTAAACCAGTCATGTGCTCTGAGTTTTATATAACCACTTGAAATACAAAGATTAAAGACAAGGCTGAGCACACCTGAGTACCAGATTTTATAATGCCACCCTTTTGATCTGAATCATATGACAAGCTAATGGATAACTGGCACATTATTACCCCCATGACATGTAGTGGGAAAAACTGTGGATGAATGTTGTATATTCAAGGAAGTTTCCTTTCCAGAAAGCCCAGTATTCCACTCCCACAGAGACAGCAATCAAACTCAATGTTGGATTCCCAGGAATGACATGAACAGTCAGTTTTGGCTAAAGTAGATGCCAGAATGACTATGCTGACATGGTGCATGAGGAGATGCCTGTCTTTGTCAGTCACATGCTCCACACAATACCACAGTGCCCAGAGTTTAAGCCTGACAGCCTGATCCTCCATCTAGCAGCCAAATCATGAAGAGTGTGAGAAGTATGTTATGACTTCAACATGCAAACCAAGTCTTTTTCTCTCCAATCTAAAGGAGCTGTAGTAAAATGCCTTTAGGACTCAAGATGTCTACAGAAAGCTTTTCAGAAGTGCAGCCTGCACTGCTCCCAGGTCTCCTGATAACTACATACAAGAACAGTAGACAGTGTGCTATTTTCACAAGTTTAATAGAGTTACAAAAGGATACCACTGCTCTATGTAACACATGGCTAACCACAGACACTGCATTGTCACTAAGGTCAATAGGGCTTGATGAACAGATACTGATCGTTAGGATTTGCTATGAAGGTACTGTCAACAGGACAAACTTTCCTTCAAGTAAAAAAGTTACTGTTAATAACTATAACATGATCCCTTGACTCAGATGCAATGACTTAAAGTTCAGTAACTGATACTTGCTCTTTATGTAAGGCATTACTAGTTTCCACTCAGGCTGAATGTTTATTTCTGCTTGGCGAAATACTCTTTACTTTTCTGAACATCAGGCTTGATTGTGTCACTCCCAGGCTTCCAGCCAGCTGGGCACACTGAAACGATAAGAACGTTTAAGTCTTACCAGCTGCTCCTGCAGAACATGTTTTACACAACATTAAAGCAAAGTAGCAACTCAGAACATGTACAGATCTTTGCAACATACAGACCATGCACTCAGTGTCACATGATGCTCTGTTTTGGTTGTTTCTATTTGTTCACTGGGCAGCAACACCCAGACCAGGTGTCTGCCCAGGCAACAGTGGGTCCTTTACATAAGCACTTCTCCTAGCCCCACTTAAAAGCTTCTGGGAAGTTTGATAGCAAAGGTAACACCAACTCCAGCACCCAGGTCAGAAAGGCTCTAACACAACCCTACACTTATCTCCTTGGATGCAGACTAGTCTGTATCCCCCTTATCTTTAATCCACCCTAGTCCAGCCCTCCAGCTGAATGGGGCAAGGGAAAAAGTGTTCAACTGTCACTGGCTATCAAAAAGCCACTATGATGCAGAGGTCTCAAACTTCCAGCAGGTCCTTGAGCAGCATTTTTTGAACAGTGTTCCTTTTTTACTGCCATGGAATGCTGGATGCTAGCTCCATTCAGGACTGGCAATTTTAGCCACAGAATGCTCAGCTTCTGAGTGTTGCTACACATCTTAGTCTGGTCTGTCCTGATTTAGATGTTACTGCAGTCCTAAAGTTCTCAAGGAAAACCTTTTGCCAGGTTTTGATTACTCAAAGGTGCAGTAAACACCTAAAGGCTTCATTTGTATGACATGTGACCTCTCCATCATCAAATGTTTGGGATGTCTCCTCACATGACATATGTTTATATGACACAGTCACAAAAGCAGTTTATTTTAATAAAACCTGCCACTGATTTACCATTTCTGGGGCACAGTAAGTAGGACCAGCAGCAACACATGTCATTAGTTAATGACAACTGAAGACTACTCACACCTGCATAACAATTTTGAGTTTCTGTAACTTGGTTCTAAGTTTTTATCTACAGTGCCTTTTTTTTTTTTTTTTTTTTTCACACTAGCAGAAAAACTGGCAGTATCAAATACCTCATTCCTTCTGAACTATGGGGACAAAGACTCTCATCCATTTTACCCTCACTATATACTGACAGAAAGATCAGCAGACTTACAGGAATTTTAGTAGTTAGTCTAACAGACTACATAAAACACTACATTAGTACTGATGGTCTCAACCTACCAGATCTGAGAGCAGAATCTAAATCAAGCTTACTCTTACAGGCTAAGTTACTACATGTTCTTAATTTCTGTCTCAAGTATTTTCTGTGTGTATGTGCTGGAGAAGACGTCCATCACCAAATTGATTTAAATGAAATCTCAACACGAGCAAGTACTCAAGGGATATATAATTAGAATAGGATAAAGCATTATGGTGTCCTTCAACAAGCAGATTTACAGAACCAGCTGCATTTCAACAGTCACAATTACCTGCTGTGCATAGATTGATACATGTACTTAGTACCTTTCAGTAACCCTTGATTTAACCTGCCTAGTTAATACTGCTCTTCAGAGAAAACATTAGATTGAAAAGCTCTCTTACCTTCTCCATGTTTATCTGTAAACTGGAAGGCCTGGACAAGTCTGAGGGTTTCATCAACAGAACGGCCAACAGGAAGATCATTGATTGTAATCTGCCTCAAGATCCCCTTCTCATCAATTATGAACAGACCCCTAAAAACAAACAAAAACTAGCCTTGAAGTTAAGTATAGCTTTTGAAAGGCTGATTA